TGGGCAACAGCCTCGAACCCGTGAATCACTTCAAGACTTCAAGACTTCAAGACTACCTTTGAAGGACCCGGGACATTTGGGCAACAGCCTCGAACCCGTGAATCACTTGAAGACTTCAAAACGTCCAGATATTACTCCCTCATGGAGAATCGGAAGAAGCTTCACACTCGCAGGCGAGTCGGTCCACAGACGGAACCCGCCATTACCAGGACACACTACAGGCGAAGGCCTCTCTACGTCCTGTGATTTGAATTTGAATTTGAACTGAACTGACCTTGAAGTGTGTGCGGTTACAAAACTCCTGAAATGTGGTATCGTAATATGTTTCTTTTCCCCTAGCCATGCCGAACAAGGACAACGAGTTTGATGTCATTGAGTTTTCTATGCTTAAGAAACGCGTATTCGTTCCGCTTTCTGGCCTTGGATCTTTCACTGTGCAGACGCTGTTATATCCACTGGTCTTGCTGCGTATTCGCCTTCAACTCCAAGAAGGCGTCCAGGTCTATCGCGGATTGATTCATGCGACATCATGCATAATTCGCGAAGAAGGCTTCAGAGGTCTATATAACGGCTATTTTGTCAAGTCCGCTCAAATTGTATCTGGTAAATGTTTTTTACTTTTACTTTTCCCCTTGAAAACAATCAGTGAAAGGTAGCTTGCAATTTCGCATACAGTGGTAATGGTTAGCGCACGAGCACCCTTTAATCTCGTTCATTCAAGATGGTAATATAATTTTAATTGAATAAACGAGCTTGATTTGAATGTATGGAGAAACGTTTGTGATATATTACAAACGTTTCTTTAAAATCGACAGTGGTAGTGCTATAATGCCTCCGGGTAGGGAGTAGTTACTTACACTTCTCAAATTTCCGAATTAACGGAAAAGAAATGAAACACGTTCGTGTCCTCAGTACTGAAAACCACACTGATATGTTTTTAGTTAGTCAGCGCTATCTGCGATAACTGAACGCGAATTACCTTGACGTTCTCGAATATGGTACAGTGCAATAAGACTATTGCTCGGAACGAGTAAGGAGACGCACAACGCATGACCAATGGTTTGTAGTGCTAGGTTTACACGTGAAACGAGGTAGTGTGGCTCACCAAGACAAGTAACATTTTCGCGGTTGCACGTAAACAGGTACTTGCACCTGATAAAAAAGCTTATTTTGAGTAGATGACTCGTAGGCAAAAAGTGAAAGTACTATGTTACTACATGTTCGCGAAAACAGATGGTAACATGTAAGGTCAGTTATACCAATGGTAGATTCTCTAAATTATGAAATTGAGAAAATGTAAACAATTCAATCACCTTTCTACCACACGCATTTCTTTGATCAACGGCAGGGGATAGATCCGACAATCGCGAAGAACTACGGTTCAGTGATAAAAACTAGCTGCCTAATTTCCGTAAGTGATTTTCTGTGGGTGATGGATCACGACATGAAAGCTGCTTGCCACCAAATTTGGGCGGCAGTGTAGTGACTCTACCTAGTTATTCGTGCTTTACGTCACGCTCTTTTACTGAATGTTGATACGCGTTGCTTCCATACATTTCCGCCTTTGTCTTACAACACTGCAACGCCACTGTATTTTGCACTCAAATACAGCGTTTGAGCTCTCTGAGCATCTCACTAATAGACGTTGGTCCTATAGGTTGCTGCATCTCGCGCAACAAGCCTGGTGGGGTGTGATCCTCAAGTGGCGGGTCTTTAAAAGATGATAAACTCGTTCAGTGTCCATGCTAATGATGTCCGAGAATTCGTACGTCTCGCAGCAGATGAAGTTACGAACCAAAACAGAACGATTGGTATCATGAAACCTCAACGATGGTTGTTTTGGAATGAGCTGGAGAACAGAGAGAGAAGCGTGCAGAAAGTGAAAGTCAACGTACCGTGATCAACGAGGTAATCTTGGTCCGGTAAAACAACAAGATCCGGAAGGTGGAAAAGGTACATGAGCGGAAAGGGTTGACACTCACTATAAGGTCCGTTTGATAGCAGCCTCTCAGGACGTTACATTTGGGGTGATTCATAGGGACGAAAGAGTTTGCTGATAGTTCAGCTTGTTTGATGACGAGCGGTGGCGATACATGTGTTCCAGAAATTCAGCTTCAGGGGGCCGGAACCAAAAGCAGACGTCAGTCGATAAAATCAGGGAGACTGGTGACGAAACCGGCAACAATAGAATCGTGCTCGGAGATCGTAGCCGCGTCTAACACGATATCGGAGTTCATAAGTTTATTTATAAAAAAAAATGAATAAGCCGATTTGGAAACGGCAAAATGTTCATATATATATTGTAAAAGGAGATGAACGAATAAACCAGGGAGCTGGGAGGTGGACTCACTGGTGATCCTTGATTTTAAATTGGAAAGACGGGTTCGGTAATTGTAAAGGTACCCCCTGCTCCGTTCACATTTTCTCTGATTGTACAAGCCGAAACGATTTCGTAAACCATCGACACTCATGCGGTTTAACGAATCAAGCTCTCGGTTTTTCCGCACGGATTCGTTCAATTTTGA